GTCACCCCCCAAAGCACTGCAGTCTTCACCGGACGCTTGCTCCTGGGAGGCAGTAACACAGCTACGCTGCCTTTGAATGGCGTCCAGATGCAGTTATCATTTGGTTGGCGTTTCTCCTGCTCCTGAGCGATTATGCAAATCCAGAGTCTTAAACACTGCTCCATGTGGCTTCTGTGCCTTTGATCATTCTTTCCTCCAACCCACACCGATACCTGTGAAGATCTAAAGATGTTCCACTTCAGATGGGTACTGTCCTCCTGCCATTTGAATTGCAGAACAGCGTTTATTTCTCTGGAGGTAGCTGCTAGCACCTTTCAGATTTCTTCAGAAGCAGAAGCCAGGTCTGGCATTGCATCAGGAAGGAAGTAACTTTATAATCAGAAGCCAAGCAGACCACCTTATCCTCAGCCAGAACTTTCTTTGTGAAAAGATCCCAGGACAGTCCGGGTGCCTGCCCTGCAAACGTGTCCCTTTTTTCAAGACAAAGGTACCACGGCAATAATAAATTTAATAATCTTGTTATCTAAACTCACTCTGCTCAAACTACCACCTCCTCCACCACCCCTGACGCTTGTCCTGCGGCTTCGTATACTTGGCCTTCATCTGGCTGCTCTCCTGCCAGCTTGATTAGGAAATAACTCTTGCTGCTGTTATCTCCTTACCACAACCCAGCCTTTCTTTCCTGCCATAAGTCCGACAGCCCTGGATCTTTACTGCTTCCGTGCTGACTTTCCTGACACCTGCTGTGTTCTCCTTCGCTCAGCCTGAAGCTGCAGTGGATGTGTCCTCACACTCCTTTTAGCCACATCTGAGAGCCAACAGGCTTCTCCTTTCTGTAAACACTGGCCCATCTGGCATGACTCCTCTCAGTGCTATGACCTTGCTGGTGCTGGTTGCCTTCCACCCTACCCATCTGATGATGCTTTGGAGGGGTTTTAGTATCATAGATTAATTCAGGTTGGAAGGGGCCTCAAGAGGTCATCCAGTTCAACCTCCTGCTCAAAGCAACTCCACGTCCAGTGGCAACCGCAGCCCATGGGTTAGGATACATGCTGTTAACAAAGACACCCCAGTTTAATGACCTGGATACAACGTGGTCATCAGAAGACTGAGGTTTTATTTTAGCACTGCTATCAACTTACTGCCTGGCCTCTGTCCTATCTGTTCCACCACACCAGAAACGGCTGGAGACACAGCAGTTCACCACACCACTCAGGCAAGAGGAACCAGCAGAGAGAGGGACTGACAAGAAGAGACTGCAGTGGGTCTCCTTAGCATACGGTACAGCTGGCCAAGTCGGGAGAAGGATCAGGAGCCTGCTTTTACCAAAAAACCCTTCTGTTTGCATGTAAAATCCTTATAGGCTTGTAAGAGAAAGGAACAGCCAAAGAAGGTGCTTGGGGAAGGCAGGCAGGTGGCACAGCACACACAGCTACTGCTTTAACTTTTCCCTTGTGGGCACCTGCAGCCAAACTCTACCTCAGTAAATATTTGCCAGCAGGCTTAACTGGCAGTCCAAGGCTGCGGCTGGAGGAAGAAAGAGTTAACTGGTGATATGGGGGCTGAGGAGCCAGCCAGGGACTAGGAAAGTTGTATTTAGCTACAGCACCAGTTGAACTCCAGTGTGGGACAGCAGGAGATGAATCAGGATGGGAGCAAAAGGCAGTAACGGATGTGTGCTGGAAGACTAAACCTGCCATGTAGCTGCTTTAAGGCAGCAACATTAATCCTTCATTAAAATATCTTGCATGTTTACATTGCCCAGTTCTGGGAGGGGAAGATGCTTTCTTACCTCTCATCGTTGGGTCCACGCAGCGGATTCTGTCCCCCCAAGCCAAACGTGCTGATGTGATCTCTTATGAGCATGATGTCCCCCACTTGGAAGTGGGGATTCAGTCCCCCAGCAGCATTTGTGACAATCAGGATCTCCACCCCCAGGAGAAAGAAGACCCTGATGGGAAAGGCGACCTGCAAGAACCAAAGGCACATATGCAATGAGTATCGCGATTTGTCAACGGCTGCTACTGCTACATCTGCAGTGTCACAATTGGTGGCCAGCTTGCATGGTGCAGGTAAGGGTCCATATGAGGCTACAAGGAGACAAAACAACTTTTTATCCAATTTTAAATATTCCTCTAACTTAAATAGGAAGATTTTTATTTTTTAAAGCATATTAAAACCTCATCTTGAAATAAATACCATTAAGATTCAAGTCCACATTTCCTACAGTTGCAGTAAGGTCAAGGAAATGCGGCACAAAAAGCATACACAGGTAATTCTTCCTCGCTGCCAAGGTCTTGCAGAGATCAAGCCACTGTGCTGATTGAAGTAACTACTTATGCACATGGACCTGGAGTGTCACTGATAAACCAGCCTTTTACAGCAATGATGTATTTCACAGAAGCATAGAGATTGTTTTATTGATTTCATTTTATTCTCGTTAGTTCACTTTAGCAGCCTGCTTATCCAAAGTTAAGAACAACTGGGAAATGGAAAAGAAAAAGAAGTTTGATTTTGAGGAGTCAAGAAGGAATTGGGATGATATCTGCTACCTCTAAAATGCCAAAGAAGCTGCGAGCAGAAAATTTCCTATCTGTGGTAATAATTTATTTTAAAAATGAGTTAATTTTAATAGACAAACATGTCTTGATAAACCTAGTTTTGTAACAAGTGCATTTAAAATGGCTTTTTTTCTATTAGAAGTTGAATGGTGCCAAGTATTATAGTTTGTATCCAAATGTAAACCAGCCTCAGCCACAAGTAAAATCTCAAAGCTATCCAAATAAAAAAGAATACACAAGACTATCAGCCAGTAGATAAATATTACTGGTCTTTTCTAACAGAAATGCACATTAGTGGATGTCAGGTAATACAAACACAAACATCACATACTTCCGTATGTTAACTGGGAGAGTATAGCAAGTTACACCAGCCATGGAGACTTTTCTAGGGGAAAAAAAAGCTGTAACCTATACAAATGCAAAAGAAAATGAAGACAAAATGCAAAAGAAAATTCAAACAGATTATTATCACTCAAAGATTCCTGGTTACTGATTTAAATAATGATTAAAATGACTAAGTTAAAGCACGTAAATTAATGTGCCTTGTATGGTACACTGTTTTCCCCAGCAAATACAGCAGGGCCAGCCACTTTGTGTGGCTGTGCAGCATCAGTTTCACCTCGCAGAAGCTGGCTGCCTCCTGGTTCAAACTCCCAATTTCATTTTTGGGGGAGAAATCGAAAATCTGAGCAAGATTCATTGCAAGAGCAATGTAAGTCCACTGCAAGAGCAAACTTCCTGCAGCTAGATAGCAAAGCAGGCAGCTACTTGTGCATCTTTCGTAACACATCTCCCCCTGTGCGAATGATTTCCTCCAGGAGAACTCACCGCGCTGACAGAGTGTCCCTCGTAATAGTGGAAGCGTCCCTGCATGCACACACAGGGCTGTCCGTTCAGCTCCCCAAACACCAGTCTGCCAGCGTGCCCTGCAACTGGAAATTAATAGGGTGTCATTCTGGTTACAGGTCTCAAGGTCTCTGACTTTAGGGGGATTTGTCAGTGGATGATTATGCAGTACAACAGGGCCAGGTGCGTGAAACTGGAGGCTGAAAGCTAAATAAATACCATAGTACAGAAATATGCACTTTTTTTACTGTGAACACACATTTCACCACTGAGGAACTGGTCTGCAGACCAATGCCAAGTGGGGCACCGTGACTTATCTCACTGTAAGGCTCTGCAGCACGTTGCCTATGGATGGGTTGGTGATGCCCTGGGTTGTGCTAACCTGTGCTCCGGGGGAAATGAGGGATGTCCTCATAAGGAAAGACTGTCTTGTTATCCAGTGCATCAGCCAGACCTCCCAGTCCAGATCCGCAGATGATGGCAATCTTCGGGCGTTGGACGGTGCGGGCACGTAACCAATCTGCTGTTTCCTTATACACCTCATAGCTATTTCTGCAAAGGGAGCAGAGGTCAGCGAGGCTATCAGCCCACCCGAAGAAAGAGCTTTAAAGGATAAAAGTCCTGAAAAGGTGCAAAGAAACTTAAAACAAAAATAATAGGAGCTTCACTGCTATTATTGAAGACATTTCATTTTTAACCTCATACTTTACCCCCAGCCAGAGGCAAATAACTTGAATACTTTTTTCTTCTCCAGCAGAAGAATGGCTAATGACACCTAGATCACAGAAATGTCACGAGGCATAACCTCTCCTGCTTCTGATGGGGTCTGGTCCCTCCTGAGCTACTGAAGGAATGCAAAAGCACAGTTAGACCAAGAGACTGCAGCCTGCGCGTGTGCGCACAGGGATGTCCAGCCCATGACAAAGGAGTAGACGCTGTCCCACTGTGCCCTGCAACAGGTAGATTACTGGGGAAAGCATCATCTACAGAGATGGAGAATCAGGAATTCGGGCTCCTGGGCTTATGACGTCTGATTTAAGATGGTGACTGCTCAAATACCTCGACAAAACCCACCTCCTATCCAGTGCTGAGGCACGGTGCTGGAAGGTGGGATGGAAGTTGGCATTACACTGCCTGTTGTGTACTGGTCTCATGGGAAGAGAGTGGACTTCAATTTTTAGGCCTGTCAGCCCAGTATTCATCAGATGCATTAATCACAGTTTTGAAATACAATCAATAGCAGAATAATCCCCTAATCCTGTTTCCAATAGGTCAACGCAGATACCTTCTGAAAGTCAATATCAAGGTTGATTGGAAACTCTTCCAAAGCCAGGGTACCAGCAGCATTTCTTGATAGCGACTCAACCGCTACCACTGATGAGTAGAATTAATTGCTGTTTGTGGTGGAGGACTGGGTCACAGAGTGAACCACAGGTAGGGGCACCAGGCTCCCTATATGGAAAGCTGATCTGCTTATTAAGGGGTGAGAAAATCAGATACTGCGAGGTTGAAGGTGATGTAAAATTGACTGGAGATGCCGATAAGCAGCCACTGTCTGCTTCATGAATGTTTCTTTTCTTTTTGTTTTTATTATTAAATCAAGTCTCTCATTTCCAGAACTGCAAGCCTTAGTCATGTTGTGATTCTGCTGTCTGCAGCCTCAGAGGACACACGGAAAAGCTTTCAAAACGGTGCTCAGCACTCCAGGAGGTCTCAGGCCATTGATGAAGAGGATTTGGCTGTCAGTGTACAACTGGTTCCTGTAACTGGAGTATCAGATATTCAAATACGGGATCTCAACTCTATGTTTTTTCCTTCTTTATGATGACAGGGTAAGTAATGATTGCACAGGTATTTTCTGTGAGCTTTTTAATCTCCCAGCTGTCCAGCTCCTCCTATAAGTCCTGTCCAATATCTGATACATCAAAATTATGTTCCCAGTTACAAACTACGTCAAAAATACTGGAGTATGCCATAAACCTGCAATCCAAGGAGAAGCAACTTCCATATTCACAGATTAAAATAAAGAGTAACTTAGCTTAAATACTTTTCAAAGGAAAAGGCTGGAAACAAGAAAGAGCTCGTTTACCATAAGATATTGTTGAATTTTCCAGCTCCTGAAATAAGCAATGCTATGAGTGACATTAATGAAGCCTACACTTGACTGACTGTATTATCCCTTGCCCAACTACAGTTCTCCCAGAGAAAAGCTTTAAAAGCACTTTACATACGCTAATGAGTGATTCCCCCATAATTTCTCAGTTGAATAACTGTAATACTTATTTAGAAATTAGAGAGAACCAAGATAATTTAAATGTAATACCCAAGCTTTTGATGTACCTGTGGCAGACGTGAGACAAGAACGAGGTCACCAGGATCTGCCCTTCCTTTTGACAATTAATCTCCTGCTTTCAGGTTTGGGGGTTTTGGGTTGTTTTTGTTTCTTAAATGCATACACCCTTGCAAAATAGCATTAAGGAATGGATATTATTCTTGTGTCTCCATAAATTTTAGGAGTGCAGGATCAATGACATTCAAAGTCTGCTGAAGACATTGGGATTGACTGATCTGTGCAGAGCTTGAGGGTAGCTGTTAAAATATTTCTTAGGCAAAGAAGTAAAACTCCAGTGCTGCATAACCCTCCTTGCCCAAAAGGAGCTTCAGCGGCTACGCGGGGCCCTCTCCATCCCAAAGGCTTCGGATGCACCAGAGCTGTCCCCAGTGCTGAGAGTACAGCGACACCAAAACTAATCTGCAGTGCCCTGCTTGCAATATTTAGTTTTCAGAAATCTGCTGGATGCCCAGCATCAAAGGCACGCATGGATAATTTCTAAATACAAAGGAGATACCTGCTCAGCAGGGGTGGAGGAGGAGTTTGACCTGCGGGTCACCAAATGTGATGTTTAGCCCGGAACTGCAGGAGCCCGAGGTCTGTGCGAGGTTTTTGACAGCCTGAATTAATACACGCGGCACAAAGCCCCCTATAGCTACTCCGTCTCCATCAATGCACACCTAATAATAGTGCTCAGTAGCATCGCTTTGGATTAAATCACAGGATCAGCCGAAAACACAATCCCCTTTATAGTGATTGCTGTCATCCACTGGAGAAACGCATCTGTTGCAAAACACAGGACTGTCACAAATGACAGATCTTTTATGGCACGAAATAAAAGCCCCACCCTCATTGCGCTTCTAGGTTGGTTGAAAGCGAATCCATGTACAGAGCAGACATACCCCAGCAAGCAGATAAAGCATTATGTTTCGGAGAGGGGCACACCGCCATACGTCTGTGCCTCTCCACACCACGATATCTGCCTCTTCGGGCCCATAACCTCTCCCAAGGTCACCATATTTCGTAATACCAGCACCTGACACAAGCAGATGGCCAGATTCCTCTTCAATAATAAGATGTTTACTTCCAAGCAGCCCTTGCCTGACACTTATTGAGTGCCCAGCAGGAAGAAGAGGAAAACAAGGCGAGGAAAAGCGATGCAATTTCACCAGCCCCATCCAGCTTGGATGTCTGCGCATCCATCCCCTCTTCCACAGCACCTTACCTGTCTTCCTCAGCATAGGCCATCCTCCTGCTCTCTGCTTAACCAAAAAGAAGGGGATGGGTGCTGGAAATGGAGCTGCAGGGTTTTACTTGACCAAAGAGCCCTTTGAACCTGCAGAAGCTGCTGCTGTCCCTGGCAGTGAGTCAGGGAGGTGTGTCCCAGCTTCCCTCTGCTTTTCCCCCAGCATCTCTAATCCCCGCGTGGGAGGGGCGTGTTCAGGACATCTGCTTTCCCGGGCTCACCCCCATGACACGTATGCTCTGGAGCTCTGCAGAAGGCTTACACGCACACACTTTGTCATGCAGATGAAGCCCAGAAAGTTCACACGCGCGCACACAACTTTTCAGCGGCCTCCCGGAGAGGCGCAGCTGACCGCGGGACTGCACGGATTGGCGCGCTCTTGCGTCAACTGGGAGCAGCCATGAGCTGGAGTCACCTGCGCCTTTGCAATTCAAACCTCTGGGACCGGGCAGGAGCTCCCTGCACCACCCACTACTGCAACCAGACATTTCCATGTCTCACATCACTATATCCCTGTAGGTGTGACATCCCATTAGCTCTCCCCATGTTTTTTTGCTAGCATTCAATTGCCTCACCCATCTCAAAAGGAAACTGTCTTCAGATATGCTAAACCTCTGTGCAGCTGATTGCATTACGGAAGACACACAGAGAAATCAGGGCCTCCACCATTCGCCCTCTATTTTTAGCTTTGCTTTATATGGAAACGAAGCTTAAAACAACCTTGTCATAAGCTTCTGCCTATGCAGCAGCGTCTGATCCCAACAACTGATGTGAACCATGTTTTACAGAGCCGTAGATGCTTCCAAGACAATCAAATGCCAGAACAATTTATGAAAATTTGTGATAAGTAGAGACTTTATGTGCCCCAGGTGGAAGGCTACAGCTACAGCAGGCACTCACAATTTACCAGATCCAGAAAAGCCACACGGGAGTAGAATTTATAAATACCCTAAGAAGGGAGAAAACCTCGATCAGAGCTTGTAGATTCCCAGACTAATCAGCCAGACAAAAAAACAACTTAGAAAATTGAGATACATCAGATTCAGGTCTTATAATATTACTTCTCATTATTCTCATTAACAATATTTATTATTATTCATGTCTGTATGTTGAAGACCCCACATCAAATATCCCCTTGATTGCCACAGGACACTCTCTCAGAGAACTTAGAAGTCAAACAGGGTAATAAATGCAGCAAGAAAAACCTGGGCATTCTGAGGAAGAGATAGATTTTGTGTTGGAAAGCAGAAACCCAGAGTACCTCTTGATTCCAGCGAAGTTCTCTGCTCACAGGTATTTGCTGAGATACAATTGGCACTGAAGAAGCAGAAAATGGATCTGAACAGAAACCGTAAGTGCCCTTTCCCCTCAAGTTCTTGACTTTCTCCCTCTCTTCCCTGTGTACACATGTCCACTTCTTATTTACTTTCGTTTAGGACACTTAAAATGCCTCTTCTACAGAGATCAGCAGGTAGCAGGGCTGTCACTTCAGGGGCTGGTGGAACATCGCTGTGCTGGCACAGTGTACCCTGCTCTCAGTTTGCTGGGAGCAATGGAAAATCACCATTAAGCACCTAATATTACTCTGTCATTTCCCCTTCTATGCTTCTTTTTCATTCTGTTTTGACCACGTTCCCCCTCCTTTTCCAGCTATATCCTCTTTTTGCCATTCTCTCTCGTTTTTGTCTTTCTGAACCGTAGCTGTTTCTGCCTCTTTGGTGTACATTCTCCTTTTTGTCAGCATTGTTCTATAGAAAACACAGTGGGCTGGGAACAGAGACTATTTTAGGTTGATCTAACTGCATCAGACCCCGTGTCCAAAGAAGCCCCCCCTGCTTGTCTTTCTACGTGAGCCCATGTGCCAGTGGACTCTGCACATCACTGTCACCTCAAGCAACATCTCCCTACAACCAGGGCTTTGAGAGCCCCTTTTTGCCCTCTGGAAACCCATGCTCCTCTTGCCAGCATTCGGGACTTCCTTGAAAGCCACTACTTGCTCCCATTAAATTAGATGATACAGCAATGTGAGGCCCTTAATGTTGATTTTCCATAGAGTTCCTTGGTATCAGCATAGTTCCGATGCCCCTCAGATATGTTCCCTTCTTTAGCCCTAATCTGATTACGTTCATTAATCTGATTCTTTTTTGCAAAGCAGACAAGAGAGATCAGACAGCCTGAGAGCTCTTCCCAATTTGTTCTCATCTAAGGCAATCTCCTCCCTAGTTTGGATTTACATGGAAAACAGGATTATCAAGAAGGGACCACTTTATCTTTCTGCGGTGTCCGATATTTAACAGCAATAAAAACTACTTGAGTTTTAACCTGTAATAGTGCATTGACTGGACAACTACTCGATAAAGGTTCAACCTACTAGGAAAAAATAAATACAATTGAGTATTGAAGGCATTCATGCCAGTAACACTGGAGAGAGGAAGAGGAAAAAAAACCTAATTAAGCTTCAGCTCCTGTACACGTACTCCAAAGCATATCTAGCTACAAAAAATAAGGTATTGAATAGACTGCATAATCCTTAAGAAGGAATATTGACAGTCTTCTGTCCAGAAAGAATCTCAGTCATCTCTTCCTCTGTGTGTGTCTGCAGCAAATTGTATCTATAATCCTGATCTTATTGACTCGGGTTTCATTCAAGTCCCGTTTCTGTAGCTGGAACTTCAACTGCTACAGGATGCAGATACAATCACCCGAAATAATTTTATAACAATACTCTACATTCCTACAGCAATTTCTAGCTATAAAGAGTGTTGTGAAATATTTTGCAAGCAAGTCATCAAAACATTTAATTAATGCTTTAGGGTAAGTCTCCCACTTCTCCGTGTGCTCGCATTATCGCAGCATCAAATTATCATGTAGTCTTCTCACGTGTACTGCACATCACCTTTTTGGGAAAGAGAACTGGGCTGCAGGAAGATTAACAGGGTCTCTGCATAGTGGAGACAGCCCAAGCCATTCTGGTCCAGGAGAAAGCTTTCCCCCAGCAAAGCCCTACAGGCATTACCATGCCCTCGTGGGTGCAGTGCCCACCTTATTTTTTTCCTTAATTTCTTGTGCTTAGAAAAGCTATGATACTTGCTCAGTTCTTTAGAAGGTGGTGAAATGGATAAAGCTTGAAAAGCTTTTGCGTTTCTGCTGATTGCCGGTGCAGGTTCCAGGTTGGATTAAAATAAATACTAAATACGCTCTAAGAATTAAACAGGATTTTTGCAGCGATGAGGAAACTCATCCTTTGGGAAACTCACCATTTGTTTGTACACTGGCTATCCTAGACAGCCACAGAAGTGTTAGCAGGAAGGTAAATAAAATCAAATTATATACCGGAAAAGTTGTTCCCCTATGGATAATTTTCACAGCAATCTCTAGGAAGAGCTGCCTGAAGCAACATGTGTGCTGTTCATTGTACATCTTCAGGAGAGAGCCCTCTGACCACAGGGAACGCCGAGAAGGGATGACCAAGGGAACAGAAAACCAGACACTCAAAAAAGCTTGTCATGGTTAGCTGAGCAAAATGAAAACTAAGCAATGCTCCGAGGACAGCCTGAAAATGTTGCCATGGAGGCAGGAGAGAGACAGAAACTTAAGACGGGCACCAGGGAGCCGGGGCGATGCGTGCTCAGTTCGGCTGGGTGTCAGAAAACAGCTTCTGCTTACCCAAAATGTGCAGTCCTGAGCAGCCCTCCTGCAATGTCGGGGGGTAGAGAGGCTTTTGGGGGGGAGGTCAGTTAACATGAAGGGTTGTGTGATGGTCACTGATGGGGAAGCAGACACAGCGCTCCTAAATTGTATGCCAGCTCTGTAAAAACTCACCACCTTTTACTTCAGTGAGGCTCAGGCAAAAACAGAAAGCAATCTGACCAGATCTATGAACAAATTATACCATAGAAATGAGGAAAAGAGCAGAGATGTCCTAAGACCAGCCAACATCTCCATCTTCCAGCTCTAGGAGAGGCAGCAAAGGCTAAAGGATAGGAGTCGGGTTGTGGCTATGGGAGTTTGTGGAAATGAAAGCGTGTGTGTGGAGAAACGCAGTAGAGACATGGTATAAAGAAAAAGATCATCTGGGGATCTGAGGAGAGGGAGCTGTACTTTCTGAAGTGACAGGAACATCAGGCTCGGCATGGCCGGATGGGCTGGGTGCTGTGAAAACAGGCAGAAAAACTGGAGAGTTCGAGGAAAGCTGCAACAACACTTCAGTGCAGGTAAGTGGAAGAGAAACCAGGGATCCTGGAGCACTAGAGGCTAGAAAAGACCAGATACCCTTCTGGCCTACAATAAATACAAATAACTAAAAAAACCCAAACAAACAACTAAAAATTATAAGGAAGAAGAAAGAAATGCTTTCATCTGTATCACAGAGGAAAACAATTTTCAAATAGTTAAAAGGTGTACTTTTTAATAATACTGTTATTAATACTGGGTCTTTTTATTATTATAAATTGATTTTAAAGCATCAACTAATGATTTAAAGGACTTCCTACCCACAGAACTCAGTACAAGTCTTGTAGCTGACTTATGAGCATGCAGGAATAACAAAAGAAAGCTAATAAAAACCGCACAGCATTACTAATGATATGGAGAGGAAAACCAGAACTCAAAGAATAATGTGCTTTTTTTCTTTTACAACAAGCATAATAAATCATTTTGGGATATAAAAGGCCTGTTACATTCTTACTAGTTTTAAGTTCATGTAAACTAAAGAAAAAAAAATTAACAGTGATGTTACTGCATTCTCTATACAATAAAATTTAAACAGAGACCACAACAAGCCCTGCAAAACCCACAGTACCCTCGCCTACCCACCTCACTAACTGCTTATGTGGTTTAATTAACTGATCCCAACTTCCCCCCACCTTTAAGTAGCCAAAGATATCGATTGATTGGAAATTCAACTTTCAAACAGGCCAATCAAGGGTGAAGAGGCATTGCAGACTTACGTATAAATCTTCTATCCACACAAAAGTGCTTTCTTAGTCAGAAAAGCTCCTTT